CCAAATAAGAAATATTAACAGCTCTATTCTGGGGCAACATATTAGACTCATATCATCGCGTGGATGCCATAGAGGCCTTCCGAATGATCTACAAGGTCCCATCAAGATATTCAAAATTCCTTAGAATATGCCTGAATTATAAGCCAGAAATGGCCATTCTAGTCTCCCTTGTCTCGATCAGCAATGTTTAGATGATTCAGGCTACGCAAAGGGGTCCTGTGTGCCCAAAAGGACTTCTTAACGGTGCAGCATTTACCATGGCCGAAAGTCACCAATTCAACCGCCCGCAGCTTATCACCTTTCTCGACTGCCAGCCTCCCCCCCTGACGCTAATCGGATTACTGACCCCAATTAAGGTTACAGTTTTGTTTTATGTTAGTGTCCGAATACGGGAATATTGACTCTTCCTGAGGTTTCTCGTAGGGCCATATATTTTAAGTGGGTGTGTTGCAGGTTGTTGTGTCGACAAGCCGAAAGATCCCCCAAATCACAAGTCAAGCAAAACAGTGTTGGTGGACAGAACCTTACTGCCGGAAAAAAAGATAGTACAAAGGCTGTGTTGTGCGCCTCCTGCTGCAAGTGTGCTCGCCAGATGTATCCGAGAAGTTGTCGATGCTGCTGCGAAGCCAATTAGGTGGCACTGGGCGCATTGGTTGGAAGTAACGTACGCCTAAGTTAGCGAATCGACCGAGTGCGTGGGAATTCAGGACATGGTGGGCCTCTTGCAGCGGTTGCCAAAGTGCGGAGGGGCTTGTCACGTGCGGGCAAACAGCAAGCATGACAAAGGAAGGCAGCGTGAGTCAGCGCAGCAGGCTCCCACGGGTGGGACGCTTCTATCCTGTTTAGACGGCCATGCAAATCACCCTTACCCTGTGAAACCTCATTTGGCTAAATAAGGACTGCCAAGACAACCTAAGCGACAACATACAGCTTCTACCTCGTGTTACAAAGAAAGTCTTACTGCCCGTCGTTTGCACCTGACTGGGTGGCTTCAGTTCGTTCCCTTACTGCCAACTTGTTTGGAGTGATAAAAGACACACAGAGTGGCTCAAAAATGATTGGTAGAATAGGCACACGCAAGAAAGGACGGCATAAAGACGAGGACGTTAAGCCAATGTATTTATTCTCTGAAGATGGGTAGACGAGACCACTACCCGAAACGTCAGGC